TCAGCACTTAGCAGAAAAGATAAGCCAAATAGAACCAAAAATCAATTGCTGCTTCTTACCTAATGTGCAGCATTAATTACTCCTTAACCAGGTTCCTACAGCAGTAATGGAATTAAATATATAGTAAAATCTCCCTAATTTGGACTAATTGAGGAAAAAGGCAGATGTGCATTTATCCTAAAATATGCTAAGATTTAGGCAGGTCTTTAATTCAGTGAAATTGCTTTAAAGATATCTAAGGTAACTTTAACTGCTAAACAGGTTGCCATATAAAAACTCCTGCTGGGACTGCTTTGAAGAATAGACATGAAACATTTGCAAGTTACACAACAGTTAGCACCTATTTGCATACCCATAATTAATAAACCTCAAAGACATGGTCTTTTCAGTAAGTTCCCTTTGTCTCCCTCACCATTTTTTAGTGCTCTTTGCTTTCTTTGAACGAAAGATTTATTTATGCTATATTCAGAAGGTAACTCTTGAGTTCCAAACAGTTAAAGTGTCCTGAAACCGTGAGGAGTGACAGTGCCAAGGAGGGGCTTTAGACCCCCATCACTTCCACCAGCCCTCCCTCCCAACAAGCCATCCCCCAAACCAAAGTGAAAAACAACATCCTGTCTGCTAAGAAAATGAAGATTTATGTCAAATCCCTAAACCCCTCCTACACAGAAATTCTACAGCTACCACTATATTCCTGTGTTGGCAGTTTACCTCTTCTAATATAAAAACAGGGTTGTAGGTAATGGGAAAAAATATGAGAAAAGTAAAGCCAACATTTTTCAGTCAAGTAGAGTGATATGCTCTTGGCCCCAAACTCTTGCTGCTAAATTTCATCACTAAATCCCATGGCCATCATCATGCTGTTTCTTTATTACTTTTAAAAAATATAATGTCATTTTGAGGCAATCAGTATTTATCTGATCTTTGTTAAGGAGATCACAAATGAGTTACTGATCTTCTTGAGAGGAAAAGTAACCCACGACCACCGTAGATTTTTTGCTAAGCTATGTGTTTACAGATGTGAACATCTGGAAAACTTTCTAGAAGGCATCAAAATATTGTGGGTCCATTAAGACACCCCCCCCTTTGTTTTACTGGTGCAAAATATATGAAAATTAAATGAACTTACTACAAAAATCACAGAAAAAAATAATTACCTGAGTAACTAAATTCCTAACAGTTAGTGCTAAGCTCTACAAGTATGACCAATCTAAAGTAATGGAGAGTCCAATCAGGCTAGGTAATTACACTTGACAATCATGATCTTATGGGAGTGCCAAGTAGTTTGCCATGTTTACACAAGATAAGAGAGTTATTGGTCAACTGGAAGAAAAATGACTTTCAAGATATTCTTTTAAAACCATCATAAGTGTTCCCCCAAAGGATCTAAGACTACAGTGTCTCTCCTATAAAACAATCAGCATTTTAATTTATCCTAATTTTCAAGCCACTCCCAGCTTAACACAACTCTATATAAAGAAATAACAGTCCAAGACTCAGTCCTTTTGTCAATAAAAAAATTATCTGAATTTTATTGAAATTACTTCTAGTATCATTCAGAAATGTGTCCTAGTCAAACAGATTAGTCACGAAAACTGTCCTAATCTTTCAATATGCCTTAAATCCCACTATGGGAGACTAATTAACAAAGTACATATACAATGAAAATGCTATAGTATGAAAGACATATTAAGATTATCCTGCAAACTAACAGACTCCTGACTAACCCAGGCATATATAATGCTCATTTTGTATGACTTCATATTCTTGCTTTTTTTTTAAAGTATATTTCAACCTCTCCCCTTTTCACACGAACAGACTGTTTAAAATTAAGATTAGATCTCTTAAATATCTTGAGTTCACAGTTTTGTTTTTTGAATCCCAGTATATTTTCCTTGTATTATACAATTTGGTTTTATCTCGGGCTCAAGGAATGGTAAGAATTCCATGAGTGGACACTGCTGTTCTGAGAATCATTAGAGCAAAGCTAGTTTAAAATAACTCCTTAACTAAACAGGCTTTCAGAAACAATAATGTTGTCACCAGGATCAGTAGATATTGACCAGTGGCTATTATCACCTTTGGCTTTCTTGTCTTTAAAAGCATTCCTTAGCAATCACAACCACAGGCTTAGATAAATATAGAATTTGAAGAGAGGCAATGATGTATGAAACTTAACTATATAGTACTGAAGCTTTCCTATATTAAAAAGTTCCTGCTCTCATAATGACTAGAAAATGCCACTTTTCCTAAGATGCTTTTATTTCATATATGTTTCTAATACTTACAAAACTTAAATATTCCATAATTTAATTTAAAAAATGGATAATCCCATAACTGGATTAAAACTCAAATAGATATCTCTCCAAGGAAGACATACGGAATGGCCAATAGGCTTATGAAAAGATGTTCAACATTGCTAATTACAAAGGAAATGCAAATCAAAACCACAATGAGATATCACCTCACACCTGTTAAGATGGCTATTATTTAAAAAGAAAAAGATAAGTGCTGGTGAGAATACTAAGAAATTGGAACCCTTGTACACTATTGGTAGGAATGTAAAATGGTATAGCCACTAGGGCCACTAGAAAAAACAGTATGGAGATTCCTCAAATAATTAAAATAGAACTACCATACGATCCAGCAATCCCACTTCTGGGTATATATCTAAAAGAATTGAAATTCAAATCTTGAAGAGTTATCTGTACGCCTATGTTTACTGCAGCATTATTCACAATAGCCAAGATATGGAAACAATCTAAATGTCCATTAAAGGATAAATGAATAAAGAAAGTGTGGTATATACATATAATGGAATATTATTTAGCTTTCAAAAAGAAGGAAATCCTCCAAATAGCCAAAGCAATCTTGAGAACGAAAAATGGAGCTGGAGGAATCAGGCGCCCAGACTTCAGATTATACTACAAAGCTACAGTAATCAAGACTGTATGGTACTGCCACAAAAACAGAAATATAGACCAATGGAACAGGATAGAAAGCCCAGAGATAAATCCATGCACCTATGGTCACCTAATCTATGACAAAGGAGGCAAGAATATACAATGGAGAAAAGACAGCCTCTTCAATAAGTGGTGTTGGGAATACTGGATAACTACATGTAAAAGAATGAACTTAGAACACTCCCTAACACCATACACAAAAATAAACTCAAAATGGATTAAAGAGCTAAATGTAAGGCCAGACACCATCAAACTCTTAGAAGAAAACATAGGCAGAACACTCTTTGACATAAATTGCAGCAAGATCTTTTTTGACCCACCTCCTAGAGTAATGAAAATAAAAACAAATATAAACAAATGGGACCCAATGAAGCTTAAAAGCTTTTGCCCAGCAAAGGAAACCATAAACAAGAGCAAAAGACAACCCTCAGAATGGGAGAAAATATTTGCAAACGAAGTAACGGACAAAGGATTAATCTCCAAAATATACAAGCAGCTCATGCAGCTCAATATCAAAAAAACAAACAGCCCAATCAAAAAATTTGTGGAAGACCTAAATAGACGTTTCTCCAAAGAAGACATACAGATGGCCAGCAAACACATGAAAAGATGCTCAACATCATTAATTATTAGAGAAATACAAATCAAAACTACGAGGTATCACTTCACACTGGTCAGAATGGCTGTCATCAAAAAAAAATCTACAAACAATAAATGCTGGAGAAGGTGTGGAGAAAAGAGAACCATCTTGCACTGTTGGTGGGAATGTTAATTGATACAGCCACTGTGGAGAACAGTATGTAGGTTCCTTGAAAACCTGAAAATAGAACTACCATGTGACCCAGCAACCCCACGGCTGGGCATATACCCAGAGAAAACCATAATTCAAAAAGATACATGCACCCCAATGTTCACTGCAGCACTATTTACAATAGCCAAGACATGGAAGCAACTTAAATGTCCATCAACAGAGGAATAGATAAAGAAGATGTGGTACATATATACAATGGAATATAACTCAGCTATAAAAATGAACGAAATTGAGTCATTTGTAGAGATGTGGATGGACCTGGAGACTGTCATACAGAGTGAAGTAAGTCAGAAAGAGAAAAACAAATACCGTATATTAACGCATATATGTGCAATCTAGAAAAATGGTATAGATGATCTTATTTGAAAAGAAAAAATAGAGACACAGACGTAGAGAACAAACGTAGAGAACAAATGTATGGATACCAAGGGGGAAGGAGAGTGGGATGAATTGGGAGATTGGGATTGACATATATACACTATTTTTTTTTTTTTTTTTGGTTGCATTGGATCTTAGTTGTGCAACACGGGATCTTTCATTGTAGTACGTGAGCTTTTCATTGCAGTGCTTGGGCTTCAGAGCATGCAGGGTCAGTAGTTGTGCCGTGTGGGCTCTCCAGTTGTGGGGCACAGGCTCCAGAGTGTGTGGGCTCTGTAGTTGTGGTGTGCGGGCTCCAGCGCGTGTGGGCTCTGTAGCTGTGGCACAAGGGCTCTCTAGTTGTGGTGCACAGGCTCAGTAGTTGCAGCATACGGACTTAGTTGCCCCGTGGCATGTGGGATCCTAGTTCCTCTACCAGGGATCGAACCCACATCCCCTGCATTGGGAGGTGGATTCTTAACCACTGGACCACGAGGGAAATCCCTGACGTATAAACACTATTGATACTATGTATAAAATAGATAACTAATGAGAATCTATTATATAGCTCAGGGAACTCTACTCAATGCTCTGTGGTGACCTAAATGGGAAGGAAATCCAAAAAAGAGGGAAAATATGTATACGTATAGCTGATTCACT